TTGGAGCCTGACGTGGCAGAAGCAATTTCTCTTCGTGTCGAATAGAAAAGTAGGAATTTCTCTCCCCCACCACCCATAATAACAAAACCAGAACAACAGTAATAATGATGATGACACTTGGAGGCGCTTATGGGTATGTACAGGTTGTTTATATGCATTCATTTCTAAAAAAATAATAATTTGGATGTTTATTCTAAAAACACGTGAAAAAATCTAGGTATCTTTTACTTGCTATATTAGGTTTTAGTATCTGTTCTTGCTTTCTTTTAGCTTTATTCCAACAAACATATGTTCAGTGCCTATTGTGTATACTCACCAATCTAGGCGATGGGGATACAACAGAAAAAACAAAAATCACTGTGTCCTTGGAGCTTATATTCTAGCACAGTGAGAAAAAAACAGACAATAAATAAGACAAATAAAAAATGAAACATTGAGAGGGCAATAAATGCGATAAAGAAAAAAGAAGGGAGGATAGAAAGTGGCTATGATGTTGCAATTAAGATCGTGTGGTCAGCAAATGCCTGGCATTTGTGTAAGGATCGGAAGGACAGAGGAACAAACCATGTAGGTGTCTGGGGAAGACTATTTCAGACAGAGAGAACAGCAAATACAAAGACACTGAGTCAGGAACAAAGAAGAAATCATAGATGGATAGAATCCTGAGAGCAAGGGAGAACGTACTCAGAACATGTGGTCAGATATGTCCCAAGGAGCTTATGACCAGATAGTCCATTGCAAGGACTTGAGCTTCACTGTGACATGGGAAGGTGACTGACCAAAGGAGACACGTGACCCATCTTGTGTTTTAGTAGGATCACTCTGGCTGCTGTATTGAGAATGGATTAGAAGGGAGCATGGGTGGAAATAAGACCACATAGGAAATTATTGCAGTGATCCATGGGAGAGACTGTGGTAGCTGGGCCCAAAGTGATGAGAGTAGAGGGGCGAGAAGCAGGTAAACTCTGATTATATTTTGAGATTTGTTCACAAACTGGATGTGTGTGGGGTGTATGAGAGATGAAGGGAGGGATGGAAAAAGGCATCGAGGGTGAATATGAGATTTTTCTCCTGAGCAGTTGGACGGATGGACTGCCAGTAATTTGAATGTAAAAAGATTGTGAGAAGAGCTTTGGAAGATCATTTTTTTTCAGTTTTTCACATGTTATGTTAGGTGATGGACCATATAAGCCTGGAGTTCGAGAAGAAGCTCTGGGTTGGAGGTTTAAATTTGGAATTTATGAGCATATACTTACATCTATGCCATGAGACAAATGAGATGTCCAAAATAACTTAGATGTGTTCTCTGTCACATTTTTAGAGACGAGGAGGAATAAGTAAAAGGAAATTTAACGGATGGTCACAAGAGATGTCCGGGAAGACAAGTCAACAAAACAATTTAAGAGGCATGTTGAACTGTGTCCTAAAATCAAGCCAGATAAGTGGCTTGGGATTTAGCTATCTAAAGATTGGTTTTGACCTTCATAAGAGCAGTTTCCATGGAATGGAGGGGCAAGAGCCTGACAAGTGTGGTCTCAGCAAAGAACAGGAGTTCTTTGGAAACTGCTCTGTAGAGATTGGAAACTGCTCTGTAGACAGACATTTTCAGATTTTGCTTTTAAGGAAAGTAGAGAAACGGGGTATTATCTACAGGGGTAAATGTGTCCTGAGAAGGTTTCTTAAACCTTTCTGTTGTTGGTTTTTCTTTTTGTTTGGGGTGGGAGAATGAATAGTATATTTGTGGACCAACCTTCCTGTGTACGTCTGGGGATGAGATGCCTAAATACTGACAGAGATCTGTGAGGACAGGAGTTTTGATTAGAAATAATGACTCTGTGAAAAGAGTTTGGATTATGGGGTCTTTGGGAAATGTTGGTGTTGTGCTGGGTGACGTGAGAATACAAGCATTGCAGAAGGAGAACAGAAGGGTTGCCAGAAGATGGATAGGGCAGCAGAAGAGAAAGGCATCCAAATGAAATATTACCTGTTTGCATTTTGCATAATGTTTAGGTTACTATAGTCCCAAAGATGTCAGTGAAAAATCTTCCACATGCCATAGAAGTTTAGTCTAGGTGAAACCTTAACAACAGAAAAAAAGTTAAATAGAATTTCTTCTTTCCTGTCCAGCTTCTTTTTCTATCATGTTGGAAATCAGCATGCCTCTGTTGAGGAACCAGAACCATGATTTATGTTAATTAATGCATCTCTGTAACACCGTCTACTGGGAACTCTGTTACCTGATAATGGAGGTGTTCTGATGAAGCAAGTAATCTAGCTAATAAGCACCTACAATGTACGATTTAAAGAAATTGTCAGTTTTGAAACAAGTGTGCATGTGGTAGATGTTGAAATGCAGACCGCGTGGAGAGTTTCTTATCAGCCAGCACCAATGAAGCCAAAGACTTTGTTTGGGCACCACCGATTCAGGAACCGAACCTCTTCTTTCCAGGAAGAGAGACCGTCTCATTCATTCATCCATCCATCTGTACATCTAGGGTAGACGTTGTGAAGATAATTCCTGTCAATTGTGGGACTGGGAGACGGACTATGAGATTTGGGAATACTCCACTTCTTATTATCATCATCTTTGTGACGACTATTGCCTTTTCTCTCCATTCTTTATCATATTCTTTAGGATATAGCATCCTAGTGGACAAACCACAAATATTTTACAAGATATCCTCTCTTTTTACAGCTCTCTTGTTGGAAAACAGTCACAGTGTGGTCTGAAACCCTGAGTTAGAAATGAAAAAGACTAGATTCTAGTACCAATTACTGTTTGGCCTCTCCCTTTGGGAAACAAAATCTCCGAACTGTTATGTTCTCTCATTTGAGAAGTAGGCGTACCATTGTTGTTACATCTGCTGTAAACTTGTATGGATATAATAGTATGGAAAACAGGAGAGTATCTTGGGGAGGAAAGGTTACATAATAAACATAGATAATGGCATAGTTGATGAGTTATCAGTTTTAAGATTGTGTATTATGCTCCAAACTGATACTCAGTTTTTTTCTCTTTTCCCCAATATGTAAGGCGCACTGCATTTCAGTTAAGGATGTAGGAAGAGGGAAGAGTAAGGTATTACTCTTCACTAACACAAAATTATTCATAAAACCCACATAATAAGCCGCTTCACCTTGCCGATTGGCAATTAAAATAAATGTTACTAAAATGTGTTAGAATTCACCAATATGCAAAACTGAAATTATAATTATGTCACAAAAATAGTGATGAAAATAACACTTCTAGCACATTTTAAAAACTGATTTTATTTTCCTTTTCAAGATTTAAAGTTTTAAACTCTTCACTTTGACCAGATGATTAGAAAGATACAGTTCTACTGATTATTTTTATACTAGAATAATCTTTCGTTATTAATCCATTTAAGTCTTCTCTCAAATCAGTTCATCATTACTACCAATTAAAAATAGAAAATATATGTGCTCAATTTCAAGAATTAAAAATAATGCCTTGGGAGTAGCATTTCTTTGCTGTGGTAAGAGGATTGTTGGATTTTCCAATTGAAGAAGTCTCCATACTGGAAATGAGTAGTCAATTATGAAAATTATTTCTGAGTAGTCAATTTGCATATCCCTAATTGTATTCATTTCTTTTGAAAGACTCAACTTGGAATTTATGATGTTTTGATTGATTACTCCTGCATTTGTGTTATTAATACTATTGCCAACGAGATTCCCTTATGAATGGGGCATTCTGTGCCTTTCCTAAATAAATGCTTGAATCATAAGTAGGTTTGTTTTATGTAATGAGTGAAAACTATCTAAAGATTTACTAGCAGATTTCAAAGTTGCCCACACTGCTCTTTCCTGGGTTGACAGTAGCATCCTCTTGCTGCCTACTGCACACACATTTGGACTTTTCCACGGTACTTGATGAGATGCTTGTGAAGGTCCTCCATGGAGGTGCTGTCTGCTGGCCAAAAATACAGTTTGAGCAGGGCTGTCCTCACTGTTGATACAGCAGTGCTTGGGCAATTACTGGAATATTTTATTTTATTTTATTTTGCCCTTTATGAAAAATGACTTGGAATGGACAATTAAATGTTTTATATTAATAGTTCTATGTTAATAGTTCTATATTAAGAAACATAGTTCTCCTATGAAATGAAATTGAAATGAAGATAGTAATAATTTGGTTGAAAGTGCTGACGTTTAGTCTCTTTGGACTTGGCGTTCATTGGACTGAACCAGTCAGCACAGTGTCATGAAGGAAGAGAACAGAATTAAAGGGATGTGTAAAAAGGGGATGAGGGGCGCCTGGGTGGCGCAGTCGGTTAAGCGTCCGACTTCAGCCAGGTCATGATCTCGCGGTCCGTGAGTTCGAGCCCCGCGTCAGGCTCTGGGCTGATGGCTCGGAGCCTGGAGCCTGTTTCCGATGCTGTGTCTCCCTCTCTCTCTGCCCCTCCCCCGTTCATGCTCTGTCTCTCTCTGTCCCAAAAATAAATAAACGTTTGAAAAAAAAAAATTAAAAAAAAAAAAGGGATGATATCTATGTGCACAAAATGAACACATTGTATGGAAATATACACATTCATTTGTTGTGATCGTGTCTAAAAGGGCAGCTGTAATTATGGATTTTATAATATCTCAGCTCTCTGAGCCTTGAATGTCCTCTTTTTTCAAGTAGACCTATCCTCAGCTTCTGCATCTTCGACTTTTTATTTCTGGAAAGACTCTTAAAAATACTGAAGTCCTTTTAGGAATATTGGTGAAGATGGCAAGGGGAAGGGGCAGCCATTTCCTTATTTCAAAATAGCCAAAAATTGGTTCTGTATTTCAAGAATCGGCAAACAATTAATTCCTGGTTACAATGCTTTTAGACCTATTGAGTGGAGAGTTGTGGGGCAGTAACATTCAAGTTTGACGTTGTCAGAGGCCATTTTCTTTAAAATCAAATAAAGATCACAATCAGCGAGATACAGTGTTGTGTGATGATGCATGTCATACCAAGTAATGAGTGTTGTTGGATTTGTTTGTAGCTGATTGCTGTGTTTGATGAACAAGAACCACTCCACAAGATTGAGAGCCCCAGTGGAAACCTTGCAGGTCAGCAGACCCCAGATGCCTTTGAGACGGAAGTGGCTGCCCAGTTGGCTGCATTTAAACCAATTGGTGGGGAGATCGAAGTAACTCCTTCTGCTCTAAAATTAGGTATGTACATTTTCACTAGTATGTTTTTCACCTGATTGAAATACGTCAGCTTGCTGATTATGAGTTGCTTCTACAATATGACGTATCCTCTTAGTATCTTTCTTTAAAAATCTGGTCTGTCTTTTCTTTAAATTATTTTCACATAGCTCTTTGTAGTCGATGCGCAGACAGGTGGATGCGGTTTTTGCTTGCATTGCGGGCAAATCTGAACCGCATCCTCTCGAATTATCCTACAGGACAGGCTGGTCTGTAAGTGATGTGGCTTATCTGTAGCCTATGAGGATCACTTTAAGAAAATGTCCCTGAAGAGTGTCATTTGGCAAAAGCTAAGGGTTATCAAGGAATTTGGACTAGAAACAAAGGTCACTTTCTGTTTCAGCCGCCTTCTTTTTCTCCCCAAATGATGTATCTCAGAGTTTGGAGGAAACGTTTGAAGTTAATTTCTTAATTTTGTCCTCCTCATTTATTCAAGCGAGAACAACCCACCTGGTAATTTTGTTCAGAATTCTTTATTTTTGTTTTGAAGGCATTGGGAGAAAAATAAACATTCTTCTACAGTTTCAGTGCATTTACATCTCCAAGAGAAATGTCAGTTTTTGGTGATAACTCTTAGAGATAAATTTAGGTCCGTTTAACAGCATGAAGCTTTTGAAAATCCACTAACATTTTGGTACTTAAAACAAATTTTCATTCCTGTTGAATGTATGCATATGTTTTGAGACTGCTCTGAGCACCTGTTATACAGGTTAATTCTCCAGATAGAAGAACAGAGGCTTTTACTACTTTGCAAGGGGAATCTTTCGCTTGCAAAGCAAAGAACATGCTTAAAATTGTAAGTCCTAGAGAGTACTCGTTTTTCCCATCTGAAACAAAATGTTTACTGTAAAGTTTGTTTTACATACCACAATATTGAATACCCGTATTTGGTACAAATGTTCTGGAAAGCATCTGTGGTGCTGCCTTTGTAATAAACCAAGTAGAAATTAATGACCTATAATCTTCACAATTCTCCTCTATCCTTTGGAAACCCGGCCAGTGAGGCCGTGTGCTGGAATGCAGACGATGGAGGGCCTTCTGGAGGCGTCCCTCCATCCACAGCGAGGTTTGTGTCTTCCACAACCTCACCACCCTATCATTCATTTGCATAATGGATGCCTTTTTATCCATTATGCAAATGGTGCGGGAGGAAAATTAGGCAATAAGGGAAGACGAAAGGAGAAAATTGCTCTTGCTTGTTTTAATATTCTATTTAGAAGCGAGCACTGTGTGGTCTTCGAAAGGCTGAACCTCCAAGGGCCCTGGGCTTGAGAATTTGTTTTCACCTTTCTCTTCGCTTTCTCGGGGAAAAAAAGAAGTTTGTTTTTCTTAAGATTTTCAGCTTCTTTTGTTGAACCAACTGAGCAATGCAATGTTGAAGTCAGGAAGAAAGGTAAGCTGAGGTTCTTTTCCTTTGAAAGTGAATTTTGTGCTTCCTGAGGACGGATTTTTGGTAAGAGAGACAGAAAACAATCTTGATTAAATGGGAACTACGTGCCAGGCGCCGAGCTCCAAGCGGTGAACTAAGTGTCCTAAATCCTTTACTCATAACAACCCATTTCAGCCTCACGGTACTTAGCTGGGTTCTGTCACTCCCCTCCTTTAAGAGATGAGGAAATAGGCATAGGGTACTTAAGTGATTTATCCAAAATCACATAGTTATCAGGTGGCGGAGCCAGGATTTGAACCCTCTCTGGCTCCAGTGTCAGGAGCAAATTTTCTGAGCTGCCTTTCATGTGCTGTTTGTAAGAGAACAAATTGATAGAGTTTGTCTGCGATTTATGTTGTGAATATAAACCAAAATCCTGAAAGTGCTTATTCATTTCTTGGCTTCAAATCCATTTCAAGTGGTACTACAGATTAAATGACGAGATTAGCTAACCTTCTTTATTAAGCGGTCAGCGTCGCTTTCCAGCCAATGGGTCTGGAGCCCTGACATCATCTCCAGTTCTTCCTCTTTCTTTCCTGCCCTCCTCACTTTCTTCCACCTTCATGTACATGAGTGTCGCAGCAGGCCAGAGCTTTATCATCAATCAGACGATTGCAGAGGCCTCAAACTGACCTCTCTCTTTACAGGGTGTACCGATCCTTGCTTCTGTTAGAGCTGCCTTTCTAAATCACAAATCTGATTATATAACTCCCTGCCTAACAACTTCCAATGGCTTCCTATGGTGTGGAGAGGCATGTCCAAACTCATTAGCAGGCTGATGCAGATGGTTCCTCAGAATTAGCTGGAGGAATCTGGGCAGGGATGAATGATGAAAAAAATCTATCCCTTATCTATCCTCCGGGGTCCAGCAGATTGAGTACTTTTCATTTCTGTAGCTTTAAAAGCAAAGCAAAGCAAAGCAAAACATGTATCAGGTTTCTCAGAGAAATTAAAGGAAGCAATACCACCTGCTTGGGTATCTGCTTATTCTGTTTTCCTTTTGTTGCTCTCAGGGCAGGTGTGGTCATGGATGGGACAGGTGTCATGGCAGGGTGGGGTGATATGCAAGGCAGCAGATGCAATGCTCATGGCTCTCCCAGGAGTGTGACCCCCGCGGCACCATTGCCCCCCACCCCGAGATCCTGTTGAGATAAAGGGGGAGGAAGTGGTTAGTGTGGAAGTAGCCTTTGTGTTCCAGTGATTTCACCATAACAAGGTGCATGTAAAATGCCAAACACCAGAGCCCCAGCTCTTCATCTCTACTCCCCACTCTCCTCCCAGAGGCTATTGGAGCTGGTTCTACTCCTCATGGGGGGCTCATTGGTGCCAGCTGGGACAGCAGAAGCAGGGTTTATTCTCACTCATTTTCAAATTTTTGAGACCCCATTCAAGAAAATGGGGAATTTAACCATGATCAGCTCACATGCTTATCTCTCCTAATGAGACACAATTTAACAAATAATAGGGGCGCCTGGGTGGCGCAGTCGGTTAAGCGTCCGACTTCAGCCAGGTCACGATCTCGCGGTCCGGGAGTTCGAGCCCCGCGTCAGGCTCTGGGCTGATGGCTCAGAGCCTGGAGTCTGTTTCCGATTCTGTGTCTCCCTCTCTCTCTGCCCCTCCCCCGTTCATGCTCTGTCTCTCTCTCTGTCCCAAAAATAAATAAACGTTGAAAAAAAATTAAAAAAAAAACAACAAATAATAGGAATCAAGACATTTTTATGATTAGGTCATACTAATCACCACAAATTTGTGTTTTATTTGTATCTGAGATAAAAATATGCTCAATATTCAGTGTATTTTTATATCATTTTCAACAGAAGATAATCGTCAACAATATTCGTTAAAAACCAACAACGTTCCCTGTATGCATACAGAAGTTCGCCATTCCTGTTTTTTTCTCGCAAGATGAAATACTTATGCATCGGATACGCAGCAAGTTCATATTTACAGGCTCTTCATGATCTACCTACTTTCTCTCTGCCTGCCTTTCTTACTGGCTACTCTTCCACAGTTACCTTAACCTGCAGGCGCCATGAACCACTGGCCATTCCCCAGATTTGCTTTCTTTTAAGCCTCTGTGCTTTTGTAGGTACTGTTCTCTTCACGTTGATTCCCCCTTTGCCTCTTTTTATACTTGATGAATTTTTACCTACCTTTTTTTAAAAAATAATTTTTTATTTTTGAGAAAGAGAGAGAGAGAGAATCCCAAGCATGCTCTGCACTGTCAGCATGGAGCCGAACGTGGGGCTCAATCTCACGAACCGTGAGATTGTGATCTAGGCTGAAGGAAAGAGTCTGATGCTTAACTGACTGAGCCACCCAGGTGCTCCTGTATCCACCTTTTAAATTCCAGCTCAAATATGACCTTGTGTATAAAGTCTTTTGCACATCTTTTAGATAGTGCAGTGGGTAACAATAAATTTCTTAATGTTTTATTTGGCAACAATGAGTTACAAAGATGAAGTGAAGAACTCTTCTGACCTAAACAGGTTCATACTCTTATATATACCCTATAAGCTAATGGGATATATATATATTTATTTTTAAGAGGAGTTTTAAATCAGTTGGGCATCTACATAATTCCCTCTTTATTCATTTAAATTGTTTCTTAGCATTTATTTTCCAGTGGTTTTTTAATGTAATCCTAAGTGACTAAGTTCTGATGTAGAATAATTTGCTAGTTTGGGCTAATGCTTGATGATTCTATGTTTCTGAAATTGATCAATGCTTTCAACTGTATAGCCTAGAGATTGCTAACCTAAAAAACCTATTTAAAAGAAGAGACATGGTAGAACACCACCAGGTAAAACAGTAAAGAATCATATTCACAGAGTCCATTTGGGCTTTAAAATCATCTAGCTCAGGGATTTCCCAAGTCTTCTTTGTGGAATCCTATGGTACTTAACATATTTTGGAATTTCAACAACTATGTGATCATAGTGAATTAACAAATGACATATATTGTGCACTGACATTCTGGATGCTATTCTAATTTATTCACTTTCACTCTTTGAGAAATAGGACTGGATATGCTAGCAGGAGAAAGAGGGATGCAGAAGGCTGTTGAGCAGGCAGCAGAGAATCCTTAGGCCTTTTAGAAGGTCCTACAGTGGAGAAACTCACTTCCACTCAAAAGAATTCTTAGTGCCCTTGACAGCAACTTTTGTAAGATGCTGGTCTAGACATAGTTCTATAGAATTTCATAATTAGCAGTTTTCTGGACAATTGACATTATTTTACAAATAATCAAATGTGCGCTCTGATGTCAAGTAACTAGTTGGGTAAAAACGCGAGTTGGAACCTGCGTCTCTTGGCTTCTAGTACAGTGCTCTTTCAACTACATGACAGTTTTTGGATTAATTTTAGTTTTCAATTATCCATGTCTTTTAATACTATATGTGATAAAATACCACCTCATATCCTTTTAGAAGTGAGATAGAGTGTAAATTAATAAATAGATACTGTGAATAGCTGTAAATCAAAAGCTAATAAGGGAATAAAGACCAGAAAATTAAGATGGAGAAAATTTCTTTTAAATCCTTCTGTAGGTTCAAATTCAAAAATGAATTTGCTTCTGCCTTCTCATCCCTTGTATGTTTGCGCATACACACATGCATGCATGTGTTTATGTTTGGGGGGAAAACTGAACCCAAACCAATATGTTAATGGGATACATAGGTGATTTTTTTCTATATTGTGGATATTTGTTGTATTCTTTTCTCATTGCAAGTTTCTGCGTGTAGGGCCTTGTGTCCATAAGACAAACTAGGACAATTACTTTGAAATTTGGAAGAGTAAGTCTTTTAGGTTTCCCCTAGGCTGTTCCTGTACTGACTTTCGATCTGTGGTAGCGGACCTTCTGCTGTTCCTCAGAAGACCTTGTGAGATCATGGTCTCAAGGTTGGTCCATCCTCGTCCCTTGAGAACCAGTGATACGAACCTGGCCCCAGACCCTAGAGTATTTGATCTAGTTGTGTTCCCAAGTAATCATTTAACCTATATGTATCAGGACCACATTTTTCCAAACAAAAAATAAATCAGGACACAACTGTCATTTCCATAGAAGTGAATATTCTGAACTGAGACTGTCCAGGTCTCTTTGTGATGTGTGATCACCATGTCTCCTTGGCTCACAGTTTTCTCATCTATAAAATATACCTTGTTTGCCCTAATAGGCTATGATTTTTTTTAGGAGAATTTCATTCATTCTAAAGCTGAATTTGAATCTGAGTCCATGTGCCTGCCAATTTCTGTCCCATGGCCTCAATTAATTAGTAGTTTTATTTTGGACCTTTTGATAATTTTTTTTTTCAGGACTTCTTGACTGAAACTTGATATGTTGGGTCCAAGCTTCAGTGAGAAAACATTTTCTTTGGTTATAATTATTTTAGCAATGTAATTTAAACAGTGTGTCAGGATAAAACATATTTGGAACTTAGTTGTTGCTAGTCTTGTGATCCGTATTACCCAGATGTAAAACAATTTGATTAAAGTTTGGAGTTGAAATGGTGTTAGCTTTATTCTCCTCTCGCGTGTTAAACTTTGAAGATGAGCTTACTTTCTATTTGAAAGTGATTCTTGTTTTTGAGACTTGAAAGCTGGAAGGTGCCTCAGATGCTTTATTGTTTCCGTGTGTGTTTGTGCTTCAAAACTGAAATGGAAATTATGATTGTGTGTTTGTTATAATTATTTTCAAAACACTGAATTTCCCTTTCTTTTCAGTAGTTCTCAGGAAAAAATATATATATATATATATAGTCATAGATTAGCGTTGGAAATTGTGACCGTTTTCTATCTGATTTTGTCTAATTTACTGCATAAGGGAAACATATGGGAACATTTGTCTGAGTTTTTAAGGAAACCAAATCCCTTTATGGCACTGATCTTCAGGAAAAAATAAAGAAGGGGGAAGTTTATTCCTTTAATTAGGCTGTAGTGTGTAAGTAGCTGCTGTGCCCGTAATGTGAGTTTAAGTATTGGCATCTGACCCTAGACAAACACAGTCACACCACACACATCGCAGAACTAAAGCTCAGGGCCAGGCTGGGCTTCTCCCGGAGCCTTTGAATTCTGACTACAAAGCGCACAAGCATGTGCGGGTTCCCCGTTGCTGGAAGCTTTCTGCTGTGGGCTGTGAAACCAGAGTTGAAATTACCAGGCAACTGAGGTCATTTGCTTGGACGACTCCATAAGTCATAATTTGGTCACTGAGTTTCATCTTATTTGTTTCCTGTTGGGGCTGATTATTCAAAAGTTAACAGCTATAGAATAGCTTTTCTTTCTTTTCTTTTTTTCTTCCCTGTGAGCCTGGTATTTTCTTCCCATGCAGGCTTGCATGAATGATGTTGTAATTAGCTATGGTAACCTTGCCGGGCTATCATCAATCAGTCACAGCCATAGAGTCAACAAAGTGCGTGCATGCTTTCTGCTATGACAGTGACTCAATCAGGGCTAAGGAGGTCACGGCGTTTCTAACCCATTTCTGGCATCATCCTTCTTTTCCTGTTGTCTTGGTTTTTATTTTAGTTTGTTTTCAGAGTAGGTGAAAGTTGCTGGGGGGGGGGGGTGGGTAGACAGATTATGTATCAAATATTTAAAACATTTTTAATACTCTGGAAAAAGGCCTGAGGTGTTCGGTTGAATGAAAGAATAAAATCAATACCTAAAGACAAGCTACTGGTAACAAATATTACAAGGTAATTACCTCACAGTAGTAACTTTTGTTTGTGTTAGTGAAGGAGAAATGTGAAAAGCAGTTCAAATAAGAACTTTTCAGCACACTTGGCATTACCTTTTCTGAGTAGCTGTGGATGAATGGTCGATACAGGCATACTTCATAGACAGGCAATCAGTTTGTAACATTTTATAAAAAACAACAGTGAGATTTGCTTGAAAATATTCTTTACTCTTAGAAGTGCCGTTTAAGTGAGATATTATTTATTAAATTGTAGAATGTCAAACAAGGAAAAATATTACCATGATCCTAACAGAACTACTGTTTCCATTTTTCTGTTTTCTGTCTAGTTTGTCTTTGTATTTTGTCTTAATTTCTTTTTTACTCTCTGCTTCAGTTTTCCTATCATCTTTTCAATTTTGTGTGCTATGTCTAATGGCTAAATGTAGTACGTAAATTGGCACTAAGTTGGTTGTACTTTATGAAAAAAATATTAAAGGTGAATTTCATTTAGCCATTTTTCAAAAAATGTAAGATAGTATATGGAAACCAAGCTTTCACTCTTGCTCTTCTCCAGCTTTAATTTTCTAAGGTGATTATATGACCTCAAAACCCAAAAAACAAAAAATGCAAGTTCACCACCTCACCTTGGGCCTCTGGCTGATGCTGGACCTGCACTGAGAGCCTACAGATCCTCTTGTAAACAAGCGGAATGAAAGGTCACCTTCCTACGGCTCACTTGATACTAGACCCCTGGGTTTTCAAGCCTCTTTTGCACAATGCACTTAGTAGTAAGTCTGGTGGGACCATGTTTGCAGAGGCCTAGTCCCTGAGTAGTGAAAATATTGTCAGCCATACTGTCACAGTCAACTTTTGATAGTTCCTTGGGCCACTGATAAAATCATTTGCAGTTTGTCTTTTTAACAAAAGAAAGGGAACACCCCCAATACACACACACACACACACACACAGGTCTCTTCTTCCCTTCTCACCAACCATTACAATCCCCATCTTCCTTTCTTTTTTTTTTTTTTTTTTTTAAATTTTTTTTTTCCAACGTTTATTTATTTTGGGACAGAGAGAGACAGAGCATGAATGGGGGAGGGGCAGAGAGAGAGGGAGACACAGAATCGGAAACAGGCTCCAGGCTCTGAGCCATCAGCCCAGAGCCCGACGCGGGGCTCGAACTCACGGACCGCGAGATCGTGACCTGGCTGAGTCGGACGCTTAACCGACTGCGCCACCCAGGCGCCCCCCCATCTTCCTTTCTTATGGCCCATCCCCCCACCTCTTTTCTGTGCAGGTACCCTGGGAAAGCCAAACAGGACCAGGCAGAAGGGCCCTCATTCTCTAGACAGAGGTGCTGCTTTTCAGAGCCTCGTTGGGTTTCACATGTCTGTTTCAAAATGCTTTCAAATTACTTATCTATATTAAACAGTCTTAACAATCTGACTCAGATTTTTAAATATATAATTCTTTGTGGCCATTGATTACATTTCTCATAAATTTCTAATCACACCTAAAATGATTTATGATAATTATGCTGATCTACTTTTGCAGTGTGAAGTTCAAGAATCTCGCTAACAATTCAGTATATGGTAAAGCCTCATTTACATGAACAACTTAAATATAAGGTTTAGCCTTTGGTCGTTGGGGGGGGGTGCGCACATGTGAGTGTATATGTGTGTGTGTGTGTGTGTGTGTGTGCTGATGCCTGCACACAAGATTTTCTTTTCCTCCCCTTTCTGCCCATCTGGATAGATAGGGGAGGGGGAAAAAATCCACTAATTTGATTATTTACAGAAGATCCATCTCAGGGACAAGTCACTCAGAGTTGGTCACGCTTTTATGTCTGACTAAGGATTTTCTCATTTGCTTTATCTGATAAAGCTGTTTGATGAATTATGACCCAATAGACACACATTTAGCTAGTTCCTTGCTCATACCCATTTTGAAATTTGACTAAGATCTTGAGGTGACTATGTGAAAGTAAGAGGTACTTAAACAGCTTGATCTCTTCGTTCACACATCCCAAGGTGATAAGGAAAGGTGATAGCCTTTGCTTAGCAATTGCCATATGAAAAGCTATCCCTCTTGTGTTTACCCTTCTTAAAATGTTTACCAGATAAAAGAAGACAACTTCCCAGATATCACCCCCATAGTCTGTCAATTTGTCATTGAAACAATGCATCTATCCTATGGTGCACAGAAACTGGTGCTCATTCTGTTTATCCATGGACTTAATGGGACAATCTTGATAGCTATCAGAAAATAGAGGAAACCCTCTAAAAATACCAGAAAAAAAATTCTGACTTCTGTATAACTATGAGATCTGTTAAAGTCTTCAAATTCCTTTACAGATGGAAGAAATCTGGGGCTTCGCTTTTGTTTTTTTTTTTTGTTTTTTTTTTTCTGTGTGTAAAATTAAAGGAAATTGTGTGGTGTAACTTGCTTCGTTTCTTTTTGTTTATATAGAAGGCTTGGCTGTAATTACTTAATGCACGTGTGTGGAATATGACATGATCAAGGAAAATAAGTTAGAAAGCTTTATGCCTAACCACATCGTATTTAAAATCATAGCTCTGGTATTTGGTGTTTTAAGATAATATTGGTCAAAAGAAGCCATCACCTCATAGTCCGTGTTTCTTGAAACCACCGATAAGAATGGCATTTCTGTATATTTTTTGGCTGTTTGTTCTGAAAAATGACATGGATGGCAGAAGCTGAAAGGCTTTGTGTCATCTGCTTCTCTGGAACTGTGATGATCAATTAAACTCTCCTTGTGTTTTTAAAACAAATAGACTTTGTGCCCCAGAGACCTGAGAGCATGAGGCAAACTTTGTATTTTAGTCACAGTTCAGGAACAATGTCCTTTGACCTCACGACTTTAGTTGGGTGCTACAATTAACTGCCCTTATGGCAGAGAACTTAGCCTTTGTACAGCTAACATCTGCTCTTTTCCCATGATTGGGCTTAAGGACGTAGCTATGGAAATCAGTATGTCTGATGTCATTGCTACAGAAGATGGTGGTGTGCCCGTCACTGACTTCAGGTAATCAATAATTATTTATTGCTGGCTCAATAGATGAGGAGTATTATGCTAGGCTACCAGAGGAATATAAAATAGCACAAGCCATGAACTCATTCCTAAGCAGCTTGCAATCTAGTTGACTTAAAATAAATTACTGGGTGAATCTCTTAACTTGGTTAGGTTTCCATTTTTATAATTTACAACTCTTGTTATAATAACACAGAGCATACAATTATAAAACCTCATAGTTGAAAAGGGTCTTACCTCATAAGTAGATTTAGATGTGCACAGAAAGCTTCATTGTATGCCATTAGTCATGTGTGATGTCTCCTCAAAGCTTAGTTAATTGTCTTTTATTTGGGTCTTTGTTTGACGGAGAGGTTCTGGAAATAATAAAACTATAAGTTTGTAGTACAATATTCATTTACAATTTTGGGCACTCGTTTTATCTTTATTGGGCACAAGTTTTATCTCTCATTAGGTGAGCAGACACAAGTAGGATCCCAAGTCTTACCATTACCACTAACAATGTCCTGTGCTGCCCAAGGAAGGTCTCCAGAGACCTACTGGGTTGATGAATGAATATTTATCCATCCATCTAACATTTATCCATCTATCCATCCTTTTTCCCACTGACACTCCAGTCAAATGTATTCTTTTAACTCTAGACAGTAAAGTTGGAGACCAGATTTCTACCCTGGTGAGTTTAGTAAATGCACTGTTCAGAAGAATTAATTGTGCCCTAGACAGGAGGTGGATGTCAATGACGAACTCCTTGCTTCCTTTTTACTGAGCACCATATAAATTACTGGCTGGATTCCTACAGCTGGACTCCTGATCTTCACTTCTCCAAGTCTATAGGCTATACCTCAGCCTGATTTATTTATATGATACAGAAAGTCAAAGTTCTATTTTCACTGTCTCTGTCCTTACTCAAAACACCATTTTCTAATTAAGTGTCCAAACTGTCTAAACATGATTATCCTGTATGTGAATTCATGTACATTGCAAGCTGTATTAAGAAGGAGCATCTTGGCCATCTTGAAAGATTTTCTTAGACAATTTTAGAGAATGAATATTGTGTCTTTTCTCCTTTTCAGATTAACCATCACATTCTTCGAAAACTCACTCAAAAATTAATTTTCTTTAAAAGACCTTCCTTGACTACCTTGTTGCCCCTGTTCTTAAAAATAATGTTTAGCATTTGGTTGGTAGTTGTCATACATTTCATGTGATAGTGTTCTGTCTTTAAAAGCTGAAAAGTTATGTGAGACTAGGTAAAATTCTTGTTTATAATGCATGTCCTCTTAAAAATTGGTTCTTTTCTTAGTACCCAAAATGTAACCTGAAGATGTTTGGTGTTGTGTTTTCTCTAGTATCTTAATGAACAAGTATGCAACACAGTATTTCCAAAAGGGATGGAGAAGACTATAGGTGATATAATATGTAAATATTATAATATGTATATATGTAAATATATTTACCAAAATGTAGTATAGAAATTAAGAATACAAGCACAGTCAAATATGGCTCTGTCCTTTACAAACCAGATGATCTTAGACAAGTTATATAGCCTCACTGTCTCAATTTCTTCTATAAAATATGCCTCTATATATTATCCATTGTATAAATATATACACACCTATATTACATATGTACATGTGTATGTGTGTGTGTGTGTGTGTGTGTGTGTATACAGTGGGCATTCATATATATGTAAGTATAAAACACAATAGTGCCTGCTATGTGATAAGTGGTAATCACTATTAATTTTATCATTAAATTTATTTTTGATCATTTGGCAGAAAATTATAAAAATCTTGTGTTTATGTAATTAATATTTTGGTGTGGTTTTTTTCTCCCTTTTTCCTGCTTTCAACCCATGCCACCATATTCTTTCTTTCTCATAAATGTAGATTCCGGTCATTTTATACCTTCTCCTAAGCCATAAAATTAAATTTGTTTTTCCTCTCTTCAGGCTTAGAAGATAAACAGTAAAATGATTTATTGAAGCTAAAACAATACTCAGGAACATTAATCAAAATAGTGTAATGGCTGTGAAGTTTTTAAATAATACCTCTGTGCTTGTTTTTAGAGATTTGTAGAAGGGTAATTGGCTTGATTCTTTTTATCTTAACTCAGGTATTTACTTTCATGTCCTCACCCTGATTGTTCATAGGAATTTCTTTTACAGTTGGTAAGTGCATGCTGTTTATGTTTGATAGTACCTTCACACAAGGGAATAGGAATTTATTTGTAATGTTTCACTCAATCCAGCTGACCTAGATCACTGTATCAGTCAGGGTGCCAACGAGAAACAGATGGCATGCTCAAAGGTATATTTGAGGACAATTTCATAATGAGATTATTCATGAAAGTGAGGCACTCAAATCCTGAAAAGATTGGAGAGCCCTTACCAGCCAAAGCCTGAAAGTCAGGCAAGGGGAGAAAATGCCTACCAATCTGGTGAGAGCTGCAGATGGGGAAAAGAGGTCCTTAGAGGATCAGAACCTGTGATCAAAGGTGGTCTAGTGCAACCACTTTCAAAGTTGGGGCTGGCAGAGAGGGGACACGGTAAGGAATAAACATCCTAATATTTATCTCTTCCTACCCTCTGCTCTCTGGCTGGTCCTTCCTAATGGCCAAACCCAACAGGCAGCAAGAGGGAAACTGGCCAGGGTGGTGGACTGAGTTACTGAATGGAAGTCAGCCTCTTGGCAGCCAGAACAGGGTTTATTTTATTTTTTTTTATTTTTTTTTTCAACGTTTATTTATTTTTGGGACAGAGAGAGACAGAGCATGAACGGGGGAGGGGCAGAGAGAGAGGGAGACACAGAATCAGAAACAGGCTCCAGGCTCTGAGCCATCAGCCCAGAGCCTGACGCGGGGCTCGAACTCACGGACCGCGAGATCGTGACCTGGCTGAAGTCGGCCGCTCAACTGACTGCGCCACCCAGGCGCCCCCAGAACAGGGTTTAGAAGACGGGGAAGTGACTCTGGATAGCAACCTGGAGATCAATCAGCACAAATATCTAGTCCGTGTCTCTAAGGTGACTTTTTTTTTTTTTTTTTTAAATAAGATGCTGGTATAGATTGAAAATGCTTTAAAATAACAGTTGATTATATGCTTGGTATAGAGCTTATCTATTGGAATATAGAAATCAAATAGAAATTATAATATACTTTTTTCCTCAAGGTGTTCACAATTCAGTACAATAGTTCTCATGCTTTTTCTTTATTTTTTTTTAAATTGAGACATAACATGGGTGATATTTATATATATAGCATGCACTGAAATCTAGTACCTTCCTTTATGAAATATACCTGTCTTACTATAATTCCACCACCTTTATAACTAAAGCAGTAAAGCACATCAGCTTTTAGTTGCCAAAAAGTAGGTTAAATATACTTCTTTGTGTCTTCTTCTTCCCAAACTTTCATAGAAATGACAGTTGTAAGTAAAAGTAAAGGGAAGGAAATAGATTAGTAACACCACTGGAAATAGAAGGTAAATAGAATCAGATTAATAGATGGCTCAGATTTTAGGCTGCCCTAGAGTAAAATCTCTTCGGCATTGAGGTATGGGCTGGGGTGGAGGTGGACAGCCTGACTGCCTGCCTTCCCGTTCATGCCTGTTAAAGTGAGACCTGTCACTGAACATGCTTTAAAACAACTGAAGCTACATGTTATTCTTAAGCAACTGAGTACTTCATACAGAGATACAAGTGGGCAACCACCGCTCACCAGACATCTAAGAGAACAACTCAAGAAATGATGCTAGAATAGAATTGACAGGACAGCCTTAGAGAAGAACAAACAATCTGGAGGAGCTACCTTACCAGATCCCAAGATTTATAAAGTTATAGTCATTGATTCATTGTGGTTTTGGCACAAAAAGAGATGAATGGCATAGGATAGAAATTTGTAGCAGCAGTCCCTTGCAGACAGTTATTTGTTTGCTGTCCGATTTGACATTGCTGTGTACTGGGGAAGAGATGATGCTGAGTCAATTCAATATCTACATAGAAAAAATAATAATAATCTTAACCCCTACCTCACACCTTACACAAAAACCAGCACAGGATAGAGTGTTTTTGCCATTCCTTTATATTTAGATCAACAAACAAACTGTAAAGACAACATGGGGGATATATGCATTCCTTTAGAGCTAGGCTTATTTTTAATACAGGACATTAAAAGTGCTAGCCATAGGAAACTTTTGATAAATTGGATCATGTTAAAGAACTTCTGTCCACTAACTGATACCATTTAAAAAGTGAAAAAAAAAAAAAGTTACAGACTCTGAGAAGACATTTGTAATACGTATATTTGACAAAGGGCCATGCCCAAAGTATATACAAAATCCCAGAAATAAGAGAAAAGCAGACAACTCAGGGAAAATAGAACAGAACTCTAACAAGGCGTTTCATATAATATAGATAGTTGAATGGCCAGTAAATATACAAAAGGAGTTTCAGTTTCATTAATCTTCAGGGAAGACACATTAAAACCATATTGCAAAATTGGCAACAAAATAATGCAGTATTGGTTTATAGCCCACAATATAAATATACATGTGTTCGTACTGATATAAATAAATGATTTGTTGAATAAATAAATAAAGGTGGCAATGGTGGTGGTGAGGAGCAAATTTTCCTTAGATAAGAGTTCCAAATAATATATGTACATATTCCTTCCCCCTTTAAGTGTGAACTGAGCTTGATGACTCATTTCAAAGTATAGGAGACGGAGAAAAAAAAGTAGTAAATGGACAGTGGTGAAACCTGGTCATTTCTACCTGAACCAACGGATCAAGATTACCGTCACCAGGCAGATGTCAGCTGACACCTATGATGTGATGAGCAGAGCTTCTCACCTCAGTGGTGTTCTTCCCCCAAATTTATAACCTCAGGTTAACCTTGAGAAAAACATTAGACAAACCCAAATTGAGGGTATTTTCCAAAATGTCTGACCAGCCCTCTTTGCAACTTCCAAGGTCATGAACAAGAAGGAACACCTGA